AAATTTTCTACAGGTGCATTGTTTCACTTTGCATCTAAGGATTGCACGTATTCCATCGGCGGAGTGAGGATTCGTGAACAAAAATCTGGGTTACAGAATTCTTCCAGTGATCTTGGATTAAGATATTTTAAAAAACAGCACTGAAACCGAAGCCTTGATCATCCGGAGCATGACCCTCAGGACATTGGCTTATGGCGTTGAATCTACTTCATTTTCTGTAGTAAACTGCTGTTCCAACGTCCCATTCTCAACCTCACGGTCGCTTGGTTGGGGCATTCACGGATACATCTTATTCACGAGAATCCGCTGAGCCCATAGCAGATAATGCTTTTGAGGTAGTTCTGACAGTTAAAAATGGAATTTAACTAATCATTTTGAGCCTATTAGTTGCCATCCGTTGACCACGCATCAGCCCAATAGTCCATAAGTTGTAGATCATGGCAGATTTGCCTTTACTGTTCCCAACGGTAGCCATTCCTGTCCTGGTTCAGGACCGAAGATGTTACTTTGGCAGAGAGCCAGAATGCTCGTACTTGAAAGCCTCGAATCCCCTTATTCCGAGTTTTTGACATAAAGCCCCAGATTGCACTGTATTTCGTGCTTTAGCGGAAGAGCTTGTTTTTCTCCATCTAGCGCATACGAGTTTTGAGTGCATCTTCATTATATGCGAATTCCGATAAGTCCGTTCGTAGGAAGTCCTGGGATTATGCCAACAAGGAACACGTGAGTTTTGAAGAGGGAGACACGATCGCTGGGACAAGAACTTTATTAGTCTGACGTTTCGGATTCCTGCTCGAACCCATCATCCGAGACAGAAGCAGATACGGGTAGTTCATGCACAAGGGGCTGCAGTATTTATAGGATGCAGTCGCCATGCTACCGCATACCTATGAATATTAACGGTTCCCCGCTTCATCAGGAATCGTTTCACTTAGTGTGCGAACTGTTTGAGGGCCGACATTCGCGTCGTTAATTGCTGCAATTTCATCACGTGCGTTGGACGTTGGTGTGATGATTGCTCGACGATCTGATTCACCGACCCTGGCGTTGGGAAAAGTGTTCACCTGTGCGCTTCCCGCGTGGCTAATTACTCCGCCTGGACGAAGTCTCAGCACTGAGTATGGAAGGGGAAGGTCAATTTACTTGTTAATGGACTGGGGACCAGTAAACCATGGCACAAAAAGCTCCCAGCTCACGCGGTTTTCACCTCTTACGAGAATTTCGGCCTCGTCGAATTTGAATGTGTGGCCGGATCTCGTCAAATGAGCCGCAACTTGAGAGCTGGCGTCATTTCTCCGCACTGCTGCAGCATGTTCGGCCATTCGCTTTCGGAGCTGTCTTCCGGTTTCCTCGACGTAGTTGCTTTGTCCGCAACTGCACCAGATCCGATAAACTACTCCAAACGTTTCTTGCCATGGCAGCGGGTCTTTCGGTCTCATCAAGTGATGCCTGATGGTTGCCTCTGGTCTGTGTGCAACTGCAATCCAAAGTGGTGCGAGAAGTCGGCCGACAGCTTCCGAAACGTTCTTGACATACGAAAGCGCTCGCCAAAATTTGGTGTCCGTGCGGTTTGGCCTTTCGTCCTTTTTGCGTATGCACCGGTCGACGACGTTGCGCGGGTAGCCATTTTCTCTGAATACCCGTTGAAGATACTGAGATTCGGCAGCCTTATCTTCTGATTCACTGCAGTGTGATTTGACACGCCGATAGAGCGTCCTTACACAACTGCGTTTATGGCTGATTGGGTGGTTGCTGTTGAAGTTCAGTACTTGCATCGTATTTGTCGCTTTCCTGAACACTTTGGTTTTTAGTTCACCAAAATCTTTGCCGCATACAAGGACATCCAGGAAGCCCAGCTGGTTTTTCTGTTCCTCCTCCATCTTAAATCGCATGTCCGGGAAGACCGCATTCAGATATTCCTTCAATCCCTCTATCTGCGAATGTCTCTGATGATGGGTTCGAGTGAGAATCCGAAACGTCAGGCAAATAAACTTCTTGTCCCAGTGATTGCATCTTCATCTTCTATTCCTTCAATGTCAGCAGCTGATCCCGTTCGATAATGAAGAAAGTATCATCCACATACCGGGCCCAGAACTTCGGTCTGTGGTGTTCGAAGACCAGCGACTCTAACCGTTGCACAACCGCTTCGGTGATGAATCCCGAAATCGGCGAACCCATTTGTGTGCCCTTCACCTGTTCGTAGATTGTCCCGTCGAACGTGACGTACGTTCTGAGACCGAACTTTAGGAGTTGAAGGACTTGGGCGTGTCCAAGAAGATTTTCCGTTTCATCGCACTTGCCTTGTAGAAGCAGCTCGATTGTCTCGACCCTCAGGTCCTGGGGAATAGAAGTAAAAAGGTATGTAACATCAAAAGATACCATGACCACATTTGGATGTAGGCTTACCCCTCTGAGTTTCTCCAGGAATTGTGCTGACAAAGAGACCGTGGTGTCTGAGTCTGCGGTCAAGAACGCGAGACGCCGGAACAGCTACTTAGCCAGTCCGTATGTTGGAGTACCTTTGAGGGACACGATGGGTCGGAGAAGAGCGCCGTTTTGTGCACCTTAGGGAGGCCATAGAATCGGGCCAAAGCCGCATCTTTGGGTCTCGCCATGCGTCTGTCGGTCGGTGTTGTTGCACCTGAGCTCCGTATCTGCTTTTGCCTCTGATGATGGATTCAAGCAGGAATCCGAAACGTCAGGCTAATAAAGCTCTTGTCCCAGCGATCGTGTCTCCTTCTTCAAGAATGCTTCCTCGGACTCGTCTCTTCCCGTCTACTGAACACGTAAGTGTACGCACTTACGCGAACGGCAACCACCCCTGTAATACAGAGAGTGGCGTACATACGTAAAGATGGATGTAAAAAGACTAACTACCAACCAACTGTCATGTAAATCGTCATATTTGCTTGTCTGTAACCTGCTTATGTTCCTGTCATGATATGACAAAACGTAGACAAGATGAGTTTTAGTCGAGGTTACCAACTTCCGCCACGGACAGTGAAATCCAGATACTACAGTCTATGGCGGAACAAGGGTCTCGTCGGTAACCCACACGTCACGAAGAATGAACGCGCAGAAAATGCGTGTTATGGGCGTTATGCACAGCCCTCTCCTATTCTCTAGTCTTTCGTAGATGTGTGCTGCCATAATAGTCCACGCAATGAGTGAACTGGTGCCGTTCCATTGGTATAGGACTGAGTCGATGACTTTTTAAGTCACTAATTGCAGAACGCTATGTGAGGATTAAAGTGAACCTGTTTATTATGGCAGAAATCCTATGATTTGGACGGAGGCTGGTTTGATCTGCTTACCCCTACCCCATTCCATCACGCTGTTGTCCGTCCAAGTAAAGTCGACTGGAGAGAAGGTTGAGCGCACTGTCTGGCAAGATGTAGGGCCTTCATTAACGCCTGCCGCAAATGCACTGGTTTTACATGCAAATGATCTCGAGTCCTTTAAACTCAGATTTCGCCTACGTGACGGAGGCCGTAGAGACCCTATTTTAGAGAAGCGTTTGCAGGTTGACGTTAGGGTGGGTGGGGGCCCAAGTTATCTAGTCAATCAGTATGAAATTTTGCGAAGTTCAAAGATGATTTAGAGCCTTCAGTTGCGTAATTGCAACAGCAATCAGTGATAGGACAAAAGGATTTCGCACAATCCATAATTTCAATTGAACACTCTATAGCACATCAGATGTTGAGTAAAACATTTAAACTCCTTAGAGAGCTCTTCAGACCAATCAGCTGTACATAAGTATTTAATAAGAGTGGCCGGATTTCTTCGAGGAATATGGGTAAAGATTTTCACCGGCCAAGTGGGATCAGAGTTAACCGCAGGCTCGAATTAACTCTTTGCCGTTTGGTAATGAGCCCAGCGGACCTTATTCCTAATCGGAAAATTGAAGCCGTTACAATTCGTCTTCACAACCAGCCCTACCGTCAGATAACGCATTCCACAGATGCAGATGCGAATGAATAAAGACTGACTGTTTTTCAGAGACTGACTTTTGAATCCTAGATGATAAACGACACGAGTGAGACAAATCTTTAGTTCTGAAGCCTTTATCGTGACTGGCTTGGGATACAGTTGTACATTAAGGCCGTTGTAATATGCTTGGTTGTCAGCCGACCGTTCACTCATATCAAACTCCTTGTAGATTATATACATGTGTAGAAGGTATTCATTGAGTAGGTACCCGAAATAATCCTCTTAAACGTAAGATCCGAATGCGGTTTCTTTCGGTGAACTACCGCCTATTTGAGGACATTTTGTTTGTAAACTACATTTTCCTATTGTTGAAAACGTTAGTTATGCTCTGCTGAAATGGGCCTTAGTTTCATATACTACCCTGAATGAATATCCTATGAAATAGATAACGTTCCTGCTCAATATTTTAACTCACGGCTACCTTTGACTTGATCCTTTGTTTGCCAATGTCAAGAATAACGCATTAAGCCGTTTTCTTCGAAAGAGAAGGAACAACATCCCATCTTATTCTTCAGTGCAAAAGTGCGAAAACTCACCGGCTGATAAATGCGGTATAAATCGCCTCTGACCAACCCTGACGTCTAACACCTACGAATATATACTGAAGTGAAGGGTTGTTAGTTGGTCACCAGTGGGTTCCAACACAAGTCACGTCTCACAGTTTCCCTAAAATTCGCCAGCGAAGCTCTGTTTCACCCTGCTTCTATGGACGGCGTGTATTCTGCTAACGAAAGGAAGAATTCCAAAGGATTATCTCTGCTATTAAATTGCTTCATGAATTTCATCTCCCTCCTCAGTCTTTACTAATGGTTGACCCGAGGAGCTACATTTAGGACGGTTAGAGCATAGTATTTAGCACATTCGCAAACATCAACTTTAAGCAGTGACTAGGTTGGGATCCCGAGACTGTTAAGTTCACTTGTTTTACTGTAATTCACCAAATAAGTTAAGCGCCAAGTTTTTTGAGGACCGAACAATGGATTAGCAGTGTCGTTTCGATCGTTCTTGCCCTGTTAGATTTGTAGCAGGTAATTTAACGGCTCTGTGATCTCCCTGGTGAATTTGTTAATTGAAGCCAATGCGCAGTCTTTTCCTTAAGCCCCATCGACTAGCCAGATACCCGTAAGGCGGATGAGCTTATACCAATTTTGTTAGTTGGTTAAATTTTAGAACGGAGTAGCAGAGACGAGATAACGTTTCAGCCTTGGCGTTGTTTACATTTATATCTCTGGTGAAGGTCAAAAGTCAAGGCAAGTACGAAAATTCCGAATGCCAAACGGCCGTTCGATCAGCTCTTGCATGAACTTGCATACACGTCACGTAACTTTGCAAATCAACTTTAAAAGACGGTTGGGGCTGGCGGGGGTTGCCATCTACCTCTATGGTTAACATGGATGTGGGCTACACAGACTCTGGCGTAACTGGATTCCACTCCGCATCCACAGTCTGCAACGGCAATCTGCCACTGGGCTAGAATTGCATGAGAGCTACATACACGACCCTTCGGTCCTTGAAGTTGAGCAGGCAAAACTGTTAACAGAAATATGAAAATGAAGATCCATACAGAAATATGGGTTCACTGACTTAACTGGCTGTCGTCTACTCAGCGTGTTCTGGGTTGACTGTGAGTGAGACGGCCTCCAAAGAAAGCAAGCTGGCGGATAGACTATACAGTCGAAACTAGCGTTTGGTATTGCATAATGGATTTTGCGAACTTTAGGGGGCCTTCGCGTCAAAAATCTAGCGGAGTGTAATTTTCGTCAGCAGCATCCTCGTCTGGTGCTTGTCTGAGGCCCGTATCGCAAAGTCGGATTAAAGGACTATGTAGATACCAGAGGTTAACTCTCACCTCACCCCGTATCGCAGAGACCCATCCAACTTTCCTGGTAGATAGCATGGCGATCACCCCTTCACGATAGACAAACAAATGGCAGAATAATTGGACAACAATTAAAGACTAGTCGTCTTTACTAAAACTATAGACATGGCAACAGACTCGTGGCGCAGTGGTTAGAGGCGTGCGCTTCTAACTAACAGGTCACGAGTTCGAACCTCGGGTGTTCCACACTTTGGGGTTGGTATGACTGGTTGACGACGGCTAATACGCCAGAAATGGCCATTCCAGCCACCCTTATCTTTGTCGGTAATGCCATTCTGTCTATAATTATTTATTTACGTTTGGCATTAGCTGCCGATCAGGAAGATTTCTGCCCCAGTCTTAAGGACTGCTTGAAAGACTCTCTATTTGTGATCTGTTTATTTTTGCGGCGTAATAAAATAGGCCTATCAAGCCATAGGGCCCTTTAAACAGTCATTTAACTAACCTAATTGGGTTTCGCCTTCGATGTGACAGTGTCGAAAAATACTGACATTTGATTACCATAACCAGCCGGTTGTAATCAACACGTGCTTCTAGCACGCTCTGCATATCTGCTGACGTGGTAGTTGGCTGATGTCATCGTATGGTCAGTCAGAGTAACTATATTCTGGTCAGTTCAAGTTTCCGTAGCTGGCAGACTGATGCGTGGTACTGAAACTGGGAAAGTCTACGGAACAGATTGTGCCCTCGATCGCACACGCACGAAAATTCACTTTACATATGCGCCCCCAGTTGTCACATGCAAGACGTCTTAATGTCAGAAAACTGACAGCCAAGGAAAAACGAAACACTGAGCACAAAAATCAGGTCTCATATTGTGACTCAAGTTAAGAAGGAAAACAGTAGTTGACTTTCTTTACTGACACCCTCATTTCGCAGACATTTGAGGGATTCTTGTATTTACCAAGCAGCACCACACTGACCACAGTTCGTGATCAAATTCATGAAAGGTGTCAAAATGTACGAATGACTTCGTATCACTCGTAACCCAAGACCAAAGCGCGCACCCAACATCGATGTTAACTAGTAACAACTTTAGGAAAATAAAAACACAAAAGAAATATCAAAGATATTGTTAATTTGTTCAGAAATGCCAGGTTTTTAAAAGAAACGGAAAATCCTTAAAATGTGGAAAAATGGTTGCAATTTGTAAATTTTAGGTTTTGACGTATAAAAAAACCGGTTTATTTGGAACATTGAGTAAATATGACAACACAAATAAAATAACCTCCAAAAGTGATCTTTAAGTGAAGTTTCTATCTAAATATCCTTCAAGAATTCGTTTATTTTTAGGTATGGCGGTTTTCCGACAGTCCACCTTCTGAGCATGGATTCCAAAACGGTTTACAGGAGATTCGTGACATGTTTTCGCCTTCAAATTTACTGAGATACGGTTCAATAAGGCACACAGGAGTTTGCTTGATGACGCTAACACGTTATTTTAGGAACAAAAGTTTTCATAAGGGCACATGTTGACAGGTGGTTCGGTGACTAAAAAATTTAAATAGAATTGAGAGGTGTAATCGTAAGAATATCACTTTGTGTATATAAAGAGAACTTTTCATAGGAAAATTTAATTACAATTTTCGTTTGTTCTGAACTATTTTGAGTTTCAGACTGACCTTTAAATATCATCGAATACTTCACAATTACCAATGTTTTATTTGATTCACATATGGATTGATTCTTGATTATTTGTTTGTTAGAGCTTCTGAAATAAAATAATCTTGAAGGCATTTGCCGAAG